CCCCCCCTGAAGTGACTATTTCTCCGAACGCTCGGGAAAATTAACTTAGATACCGGGTATATATACATGTATCTCGAACGGTTTCCGTTCTCGACATTTTTTGGTTATTTGAGAGATTTCGGCGTCAGCTTTCATTCCGCCATGCTGCGAGGACTTGGAGGAAGCAATTCAATTTCTAGAGCTATATTCTAGAGATTTTAAAATGTCTGAATATTCAGATACTTCAATTGTGGTTGGGGCTACGTTCCCGGACTATACTTCGTTTGAAAATGCCTTCAACTTCAAGAGGTACTGCGAGGAAACAAGACTGTTCGACTTTGGCAGTAACCTATTTTGTATTTAGTATTTAGTCACCCCCCCTAAAGTAAAAACTAAAATCCTCCATGTTAACTCCCCAAAATCCCTCCCATCCCAGCATCCCATCCTCCTCAGTTTGTCGCTGGCAAGTGCCACGGTCGGTGAGTCAGTTGTCAGAGCGTACTTTTTTGTCTCTGGTCCTAGTCAGTGCCTCGCCTTTCCATTTTCCCCAGCAAGTGGCCATATAAACAGGCCTTACAAGCACGCTACAACAAAGTCTGCGCTGGCGTGTAGTGTGCGCCGCCCATTGCTCAGTCTTTGGTTCCATAACTCCACCCCCCCCTACCCTCTGCTTATTGTTAGTTTCACTGCCTATAGTGTAAGAATCAAAGGAAGCAACCAGCTTAAAAAAGTAATATTGGTTTTTTTTACCGCTGACCTACCTTTGCTTTTTCCTCTTTCTTTGGCTTTATACATGTACTTTCATTTATCGACATTTTTTATATATTGACATCCAATCCACTTCCCAAAGCATGTCGATTTATGTGGATTACATGACTTTATTTTTTCTTTCCTTTCTTCTCCATTTTGACGAAATCTTCCAGATTGTGAAATATTCAGAAGAGAGATTTCAGTAGATCTGTGAACCAAGCAATTCAGGTGAGTGTAGGCTTACAAGTTCTGTTTCGAGTTCCTGTAGAGATATAATGATCAATAGGTTTTTCCCAGTTATAAAAATGTATAAGTGTCAAAGATTAGAGACGTTACAAGAGAATAACAAACACAAAAAAGAAGGAGGGGAGATAAAGACGTTTGATAGGAAAGAAGAAGCAAACCACACCAAAGCACCCGCCAACCACCAACAGACCTGAGTTTGATTCCCAAGTGGTGAGAGTGTTTGTCATGTACTTTGGTCTTTCTGCTGGGATGTTGTATCCCTCTCTGCCCAGGTTGGCCCTGATGGGCAAGGTAGAAGACTTCCTCCTAAATTATATAATCTAATTTGTGTTGATAGGGGTATAAAAAATGCCTAAATTTTAAAAAATTAACTATATAAAGTACTAATACCAGATCAATTATTCTCTCGTCTAATGTGCAGGCAGATGTACATGCAAACACACCTACACACTCATCTCATACATTGTACACAAACACAAGCACATAAAAATGCATGAAGCTGGTGGTTCCCCCAAGAAAAAAAGCTGCACAGTAAACAGGATACAAATATTCCATCTTATCACTCGAGAAGCTATACATTATCAAAGCTTAATAATGCATAGAAGAATGTAAAGTAAAGATAACAGAACCAATGAATCAAAGCAGGAACAACATAAAGATTTTTAAAATCCATTTGCATGTTAAGACTTTTATTCAACAATAAAAATCACTGAACAAGTATTGACAAATCAATTTATGTCACTGAAGATGTACTGGTCACTGTCACTGCATTAAACTTAACAACAATTTACATGTACTAAAGTGAGTTTGAACACACAGAGTCCAATACAATCTAGCACGCACATATAGCAAAACGATGTTCAGGTCCCAAATTTTTTGTCATACATTTTTCTTTGTATTTAAAAGATGTACATAATAAAAAGATTTTTCTTCCTAGACTCTATACTCTATATAAGATTATGAGTCGACTCATTCCTCAGTCTGAGTAAAGAGGCGAACATATAAATGAACAAACAACAATTGCTGTAGAAGAAAAAGCAAAGAGAGACAGAAAAAAAGAGAGTTCACTAAAGAAGTAGCACCCTTCAAGCGTCTGTCCCCATTCCTCAAACTTTACAATAAAAAGAGACAACAGAATTTTGTGAAGCATCGACTTACAACAGGAAAGAATCCAAACAAAATATTTCAGTTGACATTGCCCATCACACAGCATTGCAGTCTCTTATACCAAACAAACCTTTTTCCTCCTAAAACAGAATTAATAACTTGGCATTAATAGCAGCGTCACCTGCAAGTACTACTTTTTTTCTTCTTTGCATTCCCTTTCTAGACTAGATCTCAGGGGAAGTCATCTGCTGGTTCTTCAACCTGCAGTGCAACTGATTCCTATGTATGTGACTGTGACCATTTTCCCTACTTCGTGCAACCCTTGCCTTCAGGAAGCCACATTTTTATTTCAAAGGTACTCTGTATGTTTCCATACTGACTAAACGATTTTCAGTTTTGGTAGGAATTTTGAATTTTCCCCTCGTGGCGGCCGAAGCCTACTGTATTAATTTTATAATACATGATCTAAGTAAAACCAAATTTTCTATGATAAAACAATGGCCATTTACATTATTCCCTTTGAAATGATTTCAAAAGCAAGGTTGTATAAAACAAACTCAAAAGTTTTAATCTTTGACAATTTATTTTATTCTCTTGGCCTCTCATATCACCATCACTTGAACTAACGCTAACACTTAAAAAAATGTTCGTTCTGGACTTCACAAGTCCATCAGTACCTCAACCAAACAATTTATCTAGAGTCAGGGGTTCCCTCTCTTCTCCCAAGTAGCATTTGTATGTCGTTGTGGTGGAATCAGGCGCTCATCAAATTTTAGGGAACAGAATATCAATACTTTTTTTTACTGTTGGGAGATTTTTATTGAATATTTTTTTGCAGAAACTTACTCCTTCCAGAAAAGAACACATTTTAGTTGAATTTTATTGAAAAAATGTGTTTAAAAACCAATATGTTACGTTGTAGAAAGAGTACGAGTATTCAGCTTTGCCAGTCCCTAAAACTTTGGCGGCCATTTTCTCACTAATTTCACCTGCAGCGTCAGGTGATCCTCGCCTTTTTAAATCGCATATATATACCTTGACTTCTATGCAAGAAAGATCAATATTTTCCACCCAACACAAAAAAATAAATAAATAACAAGCTTTAATTTGATAACAACTCTATAGGCCCAAAAATTGATGAGCGCCTGATTCCACCACGATGCCACACATTTAGTTCAGCTCAGTGTGATTCACATTATTTACAAATATCAAACAAAGGACCTCGAGTATCTCTCAGTCTCAGACAGATTACTGTACTTACAGTATAGTACTAAAACGGAGGAGTTATTGATAAACAAAGTGTATGTCACTTACAAGATACTCTTGAACAGGGGTTTCAATTGAAGCCTGAGGAAGGATATTTTGCGTCCCTTATTTGACATCAATTTAGTGTTATTGCAACCCACACGTTTTTCCCACACACACCTTTTGGCTGAGGCATTGCCCTGGATTTTCATATCATGTATCACATACCGGTATGGGCTACATAGCTCAAGCTTGTGACAGTTTCTGGTTGTGAAAAACCACTAGTGTCCTGAACTGCTGCTAAAAAAGTCTGAAAAAATCAGATCAGTTGTACTATATTTTTAAAAAATTTGAAGCCTTTTTTGATTTGGTGTGTGTGTGTAATATTTGATTTGGCCCTGGCTCCCCCAGACTCTACCTCAAGCAACCCCAGGATAATTTGAGTTCCAGACCACTGCTCTAGTAACTGCAGGCATGTCGCATCTATGTAATATATATATGCATAGAACATAATGATGCTGTTCAAACACCTGGATCAACACCTGAAGTAGATATTTCAAGCAGAGTTTACTGTGTGTTTAGTCAACATGGCAGCATTGGAGGTACAAACATCTTATACATTCACAACATAAGTAACAGGCACAATAGTACATGTCTGCACAGTAAGCTGTTTGTACAGATGGCCCTCTTGATCTGGCTATCACTTGCAAAGGTCCAGCTATGCAAGGAAAGAGGGCACAGAGTAAACAAAATATTTCGTCTTTTGTGGTATGTACACGTAAAAATGAAAATTATCTTTGTCATCACAAGTAGACTTCCTTGCAACCTAGTCTGTCTATTAATGGCAATGAATAACAAAAGAGAAAGTCACAAATCTAAATTCTAAAATCACATTTTCCTTCCAGCACTCAAGTCTTTTACTTCCGTTTCGCTCTACTCCGAGATGAACCTTGACTTGCAGCCTCTGATGCAAACAGCCTGTGTCTGGACATGGTTAAGAAAAAAAGAGGACAAAATGACATTTTTCTTCCTTCTTTTCCCTACTACCAGAGACTGGTGAAAGCTCAAAGTTCTGCAAATCCCCAAAGGAAAAGGACTTACCCTTCAAGTGGTCCATTTTCCTAGAAGTACATGATATCCTTCATATTATGTAACAAAGACAACAAATGTAAAAGTACTGCACATAGGTATATGTACTTACATATACTTATACCTGAAAGAACATTTTAGTTTTGTTGCACAGCGGATTTATAACAAAAGTATGGACAGTATTGTCAGCTCTTTTTTTACTTGAAATGACCAACACCCCTAGCACAATAACTCTCAAGATCTCATTTTCATCTCCTACCCTAGATGCCCCCTGATTAGGAGAGCGAAAAATTAGAGAAATGTCTCTCTGAATGTCACCTAGAATCAAAACATGTACCTTTAGCACAAATTTAAACTGAGACCCTGACCATTAAGTCAACATATTCCGTAAATCCTATCTGTTGTGCACAATAATCAAACTTTTTTTCCCTCTACTTTCCTGTTTCTCTTTACACATGGTCCGTCTCATTTTCCAGAAAAAGTTTAAAATTCAGTTGGGATTCACAAATCATCATTCACAAAGATAATTTCTTCTCAGATCTGTGTCCTGTCAAGTGACAAAGATCCTCGCTTTCAAAACAATCTATTTATAGGCCTGGTAAAAAGGGAGAAAACTTTACGCTATTCATGGTAAGTGTTTTATGGCGCTCTTACTGAATACGGTCATATGAGCTCACAGGACACACTTAACATTTTCAGTTAGTAGAAAATTTAGAATTTTGCATGGGTGGCAACCGAAGCCTACTCTTATCGATTTTAGACCAACAAGGGATCTTTAACATGCTCAACTGGCACACAGGACGTCCAAGATTTTTCGCCCTTGTCTTATAAGGCTAGGTGTAGATCTTTCCTACCAGAAGATCAGGCGTATGGCTGAAAGACAGCAGTAAGAAGGAGCCATGGAGTAGCAGTAGAAAGGCTGCAGAAAGAGCCAGAAGCCCAGAGGAGGGGGGGCAAAAGAGGTGAGGGGGTGGGGGCAGAAAGTGTGGAGACGAAAGCAGACGACAGAATATTGCTAAACAGCAGGAAAGGAGGTAAAAGGAGACAATTTTAGAGAAGAAAATTCTTCCGTCGCTACCCGGATTCTAACCCGGGACCTTTGAATGAGAGGCTAACACCTTTACTCACTTCAGACTGTTCCCGCAACAGTTGTGTGACCCCTGCGTGATCAACTTTGAATTTTTTTTCCTCGCTGTACAAATCACGTACGTGTCGCGTGAATCCGTCTCGTGCCCTTGTTTGGTCAGTCCTGAGCTACTTAGACCCAGTTTTGTATCTCTGGGGCCAATAGTTTTAAAGTAATTGAAGGTGAAAGACAGTCACCCAACTGGGGTTGAACTGACCGGAACTCCTGCTGTTTTTTTCTATACAGCAGATAGTAATTTGACAGTCGCATCGAAGTAACGGTCGAAGAAGTCACATGAACAAGAACCACATAATTTCGCTGTTTTCGATACTGCTGTTTGTTTTACAAGTTCTAGTGACTCGGAATATGATATGTCTGATAGTTAGGACCCTGGATATGTACCCGAACACGGCCCAGGGCGTAGTTTTAGGGTTAGATTTAGCACTAGTACTGGTGCTGTTGTCAGGGCAACGAAATCACAACTTCGTGCCCTACATCTGTCTCACGTAATTCAATGTATAGGTCTGAATCAACGCACAGCCCAGCTTATATTTTAACCAAACACTTACACATGCATACAAATCAAAACAGAACACTTTGAACTTTTAATTTTGTTGTTGTTGTTAATTTCATTCTATCTCATTTGGAAATTTTTTCGGAAAATCAAATTCATGCCAATTTTGTAAAAATCATAAAAATTAAAGTATTAGACTTAGACAACTTTAGTTTTTTGTATTAGATTGAGCTTGAATGTAACTTTACTGTGTCAAAAAATAATTACAATAGGGTAATTCTGGGAGTTGTGGAGGTGTCTTGAAATACTCCAAAAAACGCAAGTCTCCAGCACTTGTAACTGGTGAAAGGGCCCAGCAGTCAGGGAGTTAACCTCTAGGCCACAAGAGCCCCTGGATAAAACCTTAAAACAAAGAAAAATACCACTTGCAACACCCAAAAAAACCCACTCAACAGCACAATATCAAACAAACAGACAAGATAGCAACAACCAAGGATACTGTTCAATGTCCACTTCTTGTCTCAGGATCCCGGTCAAAACAAACTCTGCCCCGACAACTGGAACACCGGCCTTGATCGCTGGTTGGCATGCTTTTTCATCATCCGGGCAGGAAATCACAATCGTCTTATCCACATTTTTGCTCGGCATTGACTTCAGGTACTGCGATTCGGAAAAACAAAAGAATTAAACTGATAATACTATTCCCTTAACAATGTCAAAAATGAAATTATATGAATGTTCCAAATTATGATACCTTATAGTCTTTTCTAAAGACAAGCGATGGCAACATCCAGTTAGACAAATTGATAGCTGGATATTTTGAAACGTTTATGACTTTATTAAATATAAATCAATTTTTTTGGGGGGGTAAGTGTTTCCAGAAACATATTGAATATTAAACACTACCAAACAAACCAATGAAATAAGACAAGAGTTTCATGCGAATAATTTAGCCTATCATCAGTACTCGTTGTAAGCTCCTTCTGCTGTAGTAGCATATCCTGATGTCAACTACTTCCACATACTAAAACCAATACCCATACTTATTACAACAACAGCAAACAAAAACCGTGTATCTGATATGAATTTCATGAAGCATCATCAAGAAAAAAAGTAACTAGCCAGTACATAAAATTAATACACAGAAGACAAATTCACATTACCTCAGCACCAGCACATTCCAGAATATCTGAAAATGGATGAAACCAAAATACACTGATAAACTTACCAAGCCAAAGTAATTCTCACAACAATAAAATCTGAGTCATATAAAATTTTATTTCTTTCAAAATTGTCTCTAACTTGAAGGAATGGGTCATTATTCTTGTCAATGCAAACTTATTTTTTAAAAACAAATACATGTAGGACACATTGGCTCCTAAAAAACATACACAAACTTAAAATATTTCAGAACATGGTCATCCTTATTGCAACAACTAGTTTCCGCCATGATAGTGATGGGATAGCATCAAGCAACCATATGTTTGTATTTTCAGTTTTGGGATGGCGATTTCACATATATAAATATTGCTCCATGTATCATTTATCTTTATTTTCTGTTATTGTTATATTAAGTGAAACAAGAAAATACAACAATAAATATTGCCTAGTTGCTTTACCACCACTCTGTATTAAGCAAAGAAATGCACCTTATGAAAAATGAATAAAAGCAATAATGATGGCAATGAGCAATAGAAAATCGAAATAACAACGATAAAAATTGTGAAAGTGTCAGGTCTCTTACTCTGCATCTGAGCAGGCTCGGGCCGGACTCCAGGAGAAACATGAACTCGATAACCTTCCAGCATGCGGGAATGGGCAGCCTTGGACAGAGAGGTGGCCAGAGAGAATTTGTACTGCTTTTCCATGGCTGGGTCCTTCACAAGAAACTTGTGTCCATCTAATGCAAATGGAGGACAAGAACAAAACAAGATATGATACTAGCCCCAGAGATAGTTCAAAGTTACAATATACTCTGCTAATTCAATCGATGACATATTGATGAAGTTATGCTCTAGAAATGTAAATCAACTTCTTGAAAATTTTTCAAGACGTAAAAAAAGCCTTCTAATTTAAATGAGAGAAGATAGAAAAGTAAGCCAATAGTATAGTTAATAGTAGAATACAACAATAGCGGGACTTAAGGTTCCAGAAGGAAAATCCTGCTGTTGGCGAGTTCCTGCTACGGTATAGGAATGCAAAGAAGAAATTGCCAAAACATTTCTTAAAACCCACATAATTACCTCTCTTCCATATATTTCAATAAAATTTGCGCTTTAGCGAATTAGTCTTCCTTTTCTTGTCAACTCCGTTGATTATCTCGGCCTTTAATTCGAGTGAGAAGCATTTCCTTATGTCTTTGTTGGAAGCCATTTTTTCCTCTGTCTTCTTGCCTGTGCTGTCTATCGTACCGTTAGGCCTACTGTAGATCTAGAACTGGTGAAGTGGATGCCTGCGTATGCCTATGAGCATCAATGATCGCAATTCAATGAAATAGGAATCACAGACTACACGCTTTCCTCTCTTTTTAACTTTTTGGCCAAGCCTAGCTAGGGCTATTCCTATGGCCAAAAAGTGTGGCTTTGGCCTATACGCTCTGATACTGAGCGTCTAAGTTACGGCACATCACTTTTGGAGTGGATCACATAACGCGTCTCTCTGCCGCCTACCTCACCTCACTCATCACTGGACTAGCCAATCACAAAGCTGCACCGCTGACTGCTAGTTTTGAGTCCGTCTACAGCCCCCCAACCCCCTTCCCCCCACCTAGAGTTCACTCGATCTCTCCCGCTGTACCCTAGTTCAGACATTTCCTTGCCCCACTAATTTAAACCCGAGCACAGGTGAACGAGTTTACGTAGGAAAAAAAAAGTGGATTCCGGTAAGGTCCCGCTGCATGGATGGTCTCGCTGTAGCGAGTGCCACTATAGTCATGTTCTACTGTACTTCTATAGTATTCATAGTGCATGCTGACTCTTGATGTAGCCTACATGGAGAACCCACATTTCAACATAGCAAAGATTTAGAACAGAAAAAGGGATGACACACTTCTTCTAGTTCCACCACAAGAGCATAAAACAACGTGGGTGTTTTCCTTAATATTGGCATCATCACTGGTACCTCAGAGACTGTTTCTTCATGATCTAGTTACAAATAATGGCAGTTTTTCAAAAAGTTGTAATTATGTCATAATATATTCAGGCATGGCAATAAAACAAAAACATTCCTTAACAAAAGTCTAATCTACAAAAAGGTATTTACCCCCTTCCTTCCCCTCTTACAATACAACCAGCACGTGGGTAAAATTATGTAGTCTTCTGTAGTCCTGCAAAATGACAGCACTCAAAATAAAAATCAATGCTGAGTTGAACATAGATATCATATGAATATTAAGTATCCACACACTCTGGTTCTCATAAATAGTAAAGGTAACCACCCTCCTTTTTGACATTTCCAGTCAGCAGTCTTCAATTATATTTACAGTAAACTGTAGGCCTACTTCCTTGATCTTTACAATAAACATGCTAAAAACAGCTTACCTAAAAACATGCTAGCTTGTTTACTGCTGATCAGCCACTGGGGTGACACAATCACTGCTCCTTTCGCCAAACCACCCAAGAGTTTCACAGTACGCCGAATCTATTAATAACATGTAACGTCAAAAGGTCAGATTTAACAAAAGCACTAAAACTATTAACAGTAACCATATGCAGTGAGCTTCTAAAAAGAAAGATAGCTTAACAAACTCTGGACAGGAGGACCCAAGGGAACACATATCAGCAAAGGGAATCCAAAATTCTGCTCATTTTCCATTTTTGCTCCACCATGCAAATTTTATCACACTGTTACATCCCTTTGTTGAAGTACATTGATCCAAAGTCATATCAGCTACACTATCAAAATCTATAGGAGTGACCCATTCTATAAAGCATACTGTTGGTAACAACATACAACCCCCCCGAATACACGTTTTCCCTAGGATCAGTACATGAATTACATTAGTAAATTCAACAATAACAGCAATGAGTGAACAGTCTTCTTAATGCTGACTGTGTTGATTGTAAATGCATTGACACAAACTAATAAATAATAATTTAGGATGTGGGATGCTTCAACTTCGTGTGTCAAGGTCAACCCAGGCTCTATTCAATACAACATGCCATCTGAAAGATATAGATTACTCCATAAAATACCTTTGCTACTTTGGAATCAAACTTTCGGTTTATATATGAAAGGCAAAAAGACTAACCATTACCATTGCAGATGTTGGTATCTTTGAAAATGCTCATTGTATTGTTTCAAGTAAAGTACATCTTAACATGAAAGAAAGTTCACAAAAGCTCAAAACAAAACAACTTCCTGATGGAGGGAACTGGAAGAGGTAGTGAAGGTACAAAGAGGGGGAGAAAAGAGAAAGAGAGGTAAGAGAGAGACAGGGATAGGGAAGGAGAAAAGAGAAAGAAACTGAAGGGGGAGGGAAGGTGAGAAAGAGGGACAAGGGGGAAGGAGGGAGGGGAGATAAGAAAGATGGTATTTCGGCATATATGGTACCTTGTCTGTGACCAGATGCGTACAGTCATGAATGTGAGCTACCAATTCTCCACCTAAATCCTGCAAAACCTGAAATTGAAAGAATGGAGGGATAACAATTGTTAAAAAAAACATGACTTTATAAAAAAGTAGATTTTTTAATGTTATTTAACATAAGAAAATATACTTTTTTATAATAAAATTCTATCATATTAAATCTTGAAAGAAACATGAACTTTTAACAAACTTGTGTGTACTTTCTAAGTGCTCACAATAACTTCACCAGAATTTGATTTTTAAAATAAATGAAATAAAGAAAACAAAAATTCATTTACTGAGAAGCAAAAAACCTGTTTTTTACCTGGGTTTTGAGACAGCACTATGTAATATTTTAAATCAAGAATCTTAATTAAGCAGGTCTGAACCCACACCTGCCATGCCATCAAGGCAAACACCATGAATTTTTTCTGCTTGAGTGAAAATCTGAGTACTACATTTTCTCCTGGTTCTCCCAACACAATTTATTTTTCAAAAGTGTCTTTGTCTAGATTTCTGTGTACAAGAAAAGTGATCCCCTAGAGCGTAAGTTGCTTTCACCTTGACACATGTAAAAAGTCTTACATTCCGTTCTTTGCACCAAAGCAAGCACTCCTCTCTGTTCCACAGTAAAAAAAGGACTGTTGTTGTTATTGTTATAGATCCAGCAACAGCTGGGCTCTCGCCCTTCTGTCCAATGCCATGTAGTGATAAGTGCAGGTTTGCTGCAGTTGCCGTAATGTTCCGTAGAGTGTGTTGTCAATGTTAGGTCTCGGAGGGAGAAGTGAGAAAAAGGATTAAAAGTCAGCAACCTTAATGTTTCATTCAGTCTCTTTGTCATGAAGTGAAAATAAGCCTACCTATTGTACTGAAGTGGTGACCATTCACTGTTATGTCATAACCCAAAAATATATATATCACCATTCACCTTTTCTCCCTGCTCATCGATGACACCAGTGAACATGACTTTGGGCCTGTGGTCAGTCGTGGACTTCCTCAGTATTGGACTGTGTAGTGAGGCCGCCTGTGAGCTGTCCGTGTCCTGTGAGGGAGTTGACGGGCTAGCAAGGCGCGATTTCTTAGCAGGAGTCGCCTGTAACACGTACAAAGATAAACAGTGAGTCAGCCAAAATCAAACTTACAAGTACCAGATTATTTTGAGCAAAGACAGAACATTGTTGAGGTGTTAAAAAAGACTAAAAAGGCATGATCTTTAGGCAGGTGTTGCCTTCATTGTACATAGATTAGTTGTACCATGGGAGTCAGTTGATGATAACAAACTTGCCATTACTGGACTCTTGTTATTTTGATGCAAAGACTATTTCTGCTGTTTAAAGTGACAAAAAAAACCAAACACCTAAAACTACTCACATCATTTAAATCAAGAGCCTTTTTGTGTGTGTGCTGAAAAGTTTTTTAAGACACAAGCAGCACGATTACTTCATAACACGGTCGATGTATACAAAAGAACATTTTAATGTCCCAAAAACAAAAAAGAAATATCTCATATTTTCAGAACTCCTGGAAATGTCTTCAAAAAAAGCCTATTTCAATTAGAAAAAAACACATTGAGAACATAATGCTCATTTCAGGCAGAAAGAAGAAAAATGAACAAATGCTAGTAATAGAGTACAGAGAAACCAGAAGCAAATCAAAACCAAAATCAATAGAAAACCCCAAGAGGTACTCTCCAATCACCCACTTACAAAGGCTTTTTTCTCACCTCCATCTGGGAGTCTTTAGCAGTCTTCCTGCCAGACCTGGGCTGACTGCTCTTCCCACTTGAAGCATCTGCTGCACCACCACGCCTGCCCCCAGGTGTAGACGTCTCAGCAACAGGTGACTCAGGGGGCGGGGCACCACTCTTCTTAGGTCGGCCTCGTGACGACTCAGGCATCTTCTGCTCCTGACTTTCTCCACCAGCACGTCTCTTCCCACTTCTCGCTGTTGTGGGTGGGGTGGTGGAGGCGGCCCCGGAACTTGTCTCCACAGGCGAAGGCGGTGGTTCAGCAGATGGGATTGGCACTTCTACATCCTTCTTCTTTCTTCTGTCCCTCCTGACAGGTGTAGCTGACAGCTGACTGTCGTCATCCTCTGGAACCTGTGACATCTGACTGTCGGCTGACACTCCTTTTCCCTTTTTACCCCTACTACGCTTGCCCAGGGGAGCAGCTTCTGGCTCTGTGCTCTGAGCTTCCTCGAGTCTGACCGAAATTTCTGTAGCAGAGCCTGCATCACCAGTCTTCTCCTCATCATCATCATTATTTTCAGTCAAATTGGTAGCAGACGCTGAAGGCATATTCCGACCTCTTCTCTTCTGCTTCGCATTTGCACCCTCATTCCCATTTTTCTCTCCTTTTTTCGCTGCTGTTCTTTCTTTTGACTCTCCTTGTGGAGTATCCTCTCCTTGCACTGGTTCATCTCTTTTCCTTCTCTTAGAACCAGTTTCCTGTGTTGGTTTATCCTCCTGTACACTTTCCTTTTTTTCAGCTTCCGTTGCATTTTCCTGTCCTCTTTTCCTCTTCCTCATACACGTTTCTTCTTTACCTTCTGCTTTCTCTTTCTCACCACTCGTTTGCACTTCAGTTTTTGCTTCTTCCTTCTTTTCCTGTCCCCTTTTCCCTGTTTTTGGACCAGCCCTCTCTTCCGATTTCTCCTCAACACCAGTCTTCTGCTCTTCAGCTCCAGTCTCCTTTGCCTTTCCCTTCCCTCTCTTTCCCCTTTTCCCAACAGTCCCTTCTACCGATCCCTCATCAACAGAACTTTCGCACTCCCCAGTACTATTTGCACCCTTCCTTTGCATTCCTTGCTTGTCAGAAGCTTCTGATACATTGCAATGCACCTCAGAACCACTAGGCTCACTTTTAATATCTCCACTTTCTTCAGGCTTGGTTTTTCTCTTTTTACTATCAGTTCCAGCAACATTTTCTTCTGACTCCACTGCAGCTTGTGACGACCCTCTCTTTCTACTTGATCGTGTACTTGTTTCAAAATCATTCAAGTAAGGACTTGCCACAATTTTCCTTCCCCTTGAACTAGTGCGTGGCTGCACAGCCTCCTGTTCTGACGATTTCTTCGGTGAGCTTTTCATGGTTTTTTTACCACGTCCTCTCACCACCTTCTCCTCAGGCATGACTTCAGTATCTTTTGTATCAACAGATGAGGCAATAGAAGCTGTTTCATCACTTTCATTACCACCTCCAGTTTCTTTATTCAAGATGTGTCTCCTGATCCTCTCATACATCGTTTGAGACCCTACATCAGGAGTGTCTGAGGCACTAGAAGTCGTCTTCTTGCCCCTACCACGACGACCTCGTGCTGTCGAAGCTTTGGGATCAGCCATCTTATCAACTTCACCAGGACCATCACTAGTCTTTGCCTCCGACGGCTCAGGTTTCACCTCAGCATCACCACCTCCTACCTCTTCAAGAGGTTCAGGATTAACTTCCATAGCATCTGACTGATCATCTTTTTCCCCAGCATCCACATAATTTGCAATAATTTTTTCGCCCATCTCATTCTTGTTCATCTGACCTTCTGAAACATCTTTTGACGCTTGAAAAACCTTAACACCTCTTTGCTGTCGACGTGACCTAGAGGTACGGGCTGTTTGCTCTGGTTTCACATCATCCTGACCGGCTGCATCACTAGCTTCCACAACTTCAGTTACTTTGCCAGACTTTTTATCTTTGGTAGAAGTTTTAGCCGATGTGGCCTCTGAGATACAAAGAAAAAGAGGGTTGACACTCAAACTAACCAGACCAAGATGTTAATCTTGGGCTTTATAAAGCTCACATCCTGTATTTTAGACAATGTATACAACATAAACTGGGTAATATGTGTTGTTTTTCTTAAATAAGAGCTTGAAAGTCTGGACACAAAATACTAGGGACATAAAGGAAGTACAGAAAAAAGACATCCTCTCAGCAGCAGGGAGACTGACATTTAAAAGAGGGGGTACCATACCATGGTACCCCACAAAGTAGGGGAGAAATAGCCCATAAAGGAAGGACAGCAGACTATCAACAACTTCTTACTGGCCCGAGTTTAATGAAATGCAATTCCCATACACTTATTCATTCCAGTGTTTATAACAACTGCTCAGACAAAAATATATGGTTAGTATGTGGGACAGCACAGCAGCATCATGAAAAAAACATGCAATCACTACATTAACTGATTCCGTCCATGTTTTTTTCAGGCTCTGGACAGAATCAATTTTCCTTGTTCAGTTTTAGACCTGGGGTGCATCTATTTAATGCATTACTGTGAAACTTTAAGTTACTCTAATAGGTATTGTCACATACCAAAGTGATGAGAATCAATATAGGAATATGTTTATACCATTAACAATGACCTATAAAATGTTTGTATTGTATTTTCCGTCAGACAAAAACGAACAAGGAAAAAAAAATTGCGCAACACCTCTTTGAAAATTTCGACTTACCGCATTTTCTCAGCTCTACAAGTCCTTATAATCCATAGGAATCAACACAAAATTGTAGCGATATCACCCTAGCACACATTTATGCAAAAATTTCACAAATTTAGTTGAATATCTTTCTTTGAAGGGCCTTTTTCTTATACCAGGCTCCGTGTTATTTACCCGTAGATCTAGCCTACATAGCGAAAACAAAACAACGATTTTTGCAAGAATTTCGCGGAGTTTCGATCAATATTGGCGCTCAGAGATTGAGGTCAGGTTTGTTTACAAGTTCTACTTCCTTTCGACAACTTAAAAAGTAGGAATTATGTTAAAAAGTGCACATTTGTTTCGGATTTCGCTCGGATTTTGTTGAGCCGTTCACAGCGGTCGAATGGATGCAACGGAAAAACTCACGAGCCGCTGTCAGCGGCCGAATGGACGGAATCAATTAAAGCTACAGAGGTAAAGAAAAGAAAGCCAGTCATTCATTTTCTTTTTATCTTTTGAAGGATAACCGTCATACCAGAAGACGTAAACCCCAGATCCCTGCACTGCAAGGAAAAAGCTATATAAATACAATGATAAAAGTCATAAGACTCAACCAACCTGTTCCAATCGCACCCCTGGTCAAAGTTCCTCTAGTAGTTGCTCCTGCTCGTGATGATGACCTAGATGGTTTGGCTTCCTCGGGTTCAGGCTGCAAAAAAGTGGGACAGTAAGACATTTAATGGCAAGATAAGACATGAAGCCATCACTACTAAAGTTGGACCATAAAACATTTCAAAATCCAAGTGACGAGCCATTAAAATCCTCTCTGCTTGACAAAAAGATACATAATTCATGGTAAATGTACTATACCCAGAATTTTGACATTTTAAAAATATATATTGCAATTGCTTAATCTGTGGTATCGGATGCATGTGTGCAAGAAATATTTTGTTAAAATTAAAATTGTAAATGTTGAAAAAAAGCAAGAAGAAAATACATAGTAATAGCTCCCTGACAATATGTCGTCTTTCCTCTTTCCCCTTCCCATGTCCTCCTTCCCCCTCTTTCTTTCTGTCTAGGCAACTTATTTCCGCACCACTATGAAATGTCCAAAGCAAATCAACACTGGCAAAATGTAAGCATACCTCTGTGAAAGCAACACGCCTTGGTGTTGGGGAAGGGGAGCGTTTCTTGCCCGCCAAAGCCGACTTGAGCGGTGAGCGAGATGGGATTGGGACGAGGGGCGTCTTCTGTTCTTGGGCAACACCTTCACCACTGTCAGCCACCATCTAGTGAGACAGATATAACACTTGTCACTGAGAGCTACGACATTGATGAATTCACCAGAGGAGTCAAACAATCTATCCTTCATCGTTATAGTCAAACTGTGGCCCCGGTCATACAAGAATAAATCTCTGAAATAGCCCTGTAAAGCCAAGGTCCACAGCTGACAGTAAATTCTGCCTGTTGGGAACATTTTCAATTTAAAGAAATGAGGAGGATTTCAATAAATTTATACCAAAAAAATATAGGAAACTGCTACAAAATGTAGTTTTTAGAACGGATCACAACCTCATTATCCTTGCCCCTTTCTGAACCAAAGCACAACATTATAATTTATATCTATTGGAAAATTCTTGAAAAAAAACCCTGAGAATGCACATCATTCTCACAAGATTTCCTTTAAAAAAAAAAAAAACTTGCACTTTTCCAAACTAAAAAAAATCAAGATAATGGGCACCAGTCAAGGGAGCTTGTGGGCTTTGCTCTTATTACTATTTGTCAATCTGGTCTTGAAAGTTAAGAATTTTAACTTTAGCAACAGCAAGTCCACAAGGAGTAATGCTAGAAAACAGAATGCGTACTTTCCTATACAAAAATGGCCTTCTGTACTCGGACCCTCTAAAACCCATCAAACATGATTTTACTTACTGGTTGGTAGCCATGAACTAATAAATCATTTCATGTATTCTTAATGCTTTTGACTCAAGAACAAACAAAAAAACAACAACAAAAACAAAAAAACTGCCAGTCTTTAAATTCAACTAAAGCAAAATGACTGAAACAAAAAATGTCTTACCTCTTCCGTGTCAGACAAATCTGCCTCTTCTTGCGGTTTATCTAAAACGAACAATGTAAACATTTTCAGTACCATAATAAAACTAAATGTCAAATAGTTACCAGCATCTATCTGAACACTGAAAACATCACTAAGTAAGGATGCAACCCCTGGTTAAGTTGCCTAAACCCATCTCACCCCTGACAAAAAGGTAACCCCCCCCCCCAAAAAAAAGCTTTAAATACAGTGGATTTTTATTTGCAATAAAACACTTTAAAAATGAAACATGTAATTTCAAAAGTCCAGGCGTGTACTACACTCCACTGTATAAGAGAGACCACAAAGATTTTGGTTGCAAATTATATTATCTCTAGATACCATGGGAATCTGTTGGTACAAAAGTTTGCAGAAGTTTAAGAACTTGAATCTTATTGTTGAAAAGCTTGTCCACAAGCTCTACACCACTTCCCCAATAACTCAGAGGATTATTATTCGTTATGAAATTCTACTGGTAGGAAGCTAGAAGTCTTAAATGTGGACTTTTAAAACATAAAGCAGGCTCCGAGACTGCAACCATACACACAAACTAACCTGGGAAATAGGTAAATGCCTGTACGGAGAAGCTGCAAATACATTATTATCATGCTTAGCAGACCTTTATCCAACCTGTTCAAAACCCCGAGCCTGACCTTTGTCAGGGATGCCACTGGCATTTTGAGAAATAGATGAAAATTTATGAAGTAGCATTTGTGAACCAAAAGACAAGATAATAGACACAAATAATATGGATGGGGTTAAACAGAAAACAAATGCTGAGAATAATAACTGTTCTACTTACCATTATTTTTTGTTTGAAGTAAACTATATAATGGATTTTTGTTGATGCTTTATTTTCTGGAAACAAATTCCCTGATGCCCTTTGTTTTTATTTTCAGTGAAAAAATAACTGAAATAATGGTGGTTGGGGGGGGGGGGGGGGAATGGCATCCCTGAATTGTGCAGATGGGGATGTAACAGGCAGAATCTTCTTACCTTTTGTCAGTTCCTTTGTCTTCACTACAGCTGCTTCTGCAGTGGGTCCCTTAGAGCGTCGGCCACGAGTCCTCCCAGGAGTAGAAGACTCCTCCTCCACAGCCATATCATACGCTAGAGTTGCTTCTACTTTCACTTCTTCACCCCCAGCACTTGTGTTGCCTTTCCCTTTGCCAGGGCTTTTCTGGCCAGCTCCTACTTTCACTTCCTTGTCTGTGGCAGTAGTTCTGTTCCCTCCTTTGCGAGGTGTCTGCCTTCGGCTTCGCTTGGGACTCTGATCAACTTCCATGTCATACGCTAAGGTTGGTTCTACAGGTTCAGGCTTTGGACCATCCATTGAACTCCCTCCATCTTTCACCACTTCTTCCGCCTTCACTTGCTCCTTTCCTTTGTTGTCCGACTGCTTGCCTCTCCTGCCTCTGCGAATCCTTCCATCTGCAGTACTTGTCTCAGTGTCTTCGACTACCATATCATACGGGACTGTTGGATCCGGTTTCTTTTCCTCTTCAGCGAACAGCTGAAATATACAATCGTTTAAAAAATTTGTAGAAATCTAGATAACCATGGTCCTGTTGCATGGAAAAATTCCTATTAAATGTAGGCTTGAAAGATGACATCATAAAGAACTGCAAACTTTCAGGGGGGAAAAAAACCCAGAACATTTAATGTGAGACCTACATCTATCCAAAACTCACACACAGGGTAAGCTAGAAAACACTGGAAGGCCTAAAGCCATTTTCTAAGTCCACTTGCAGAGATGTTCATGTGTCTAGTCTAACACTGATCAAACTAAAGAAGTGAACAACTCCTGTAGAAATGAAATTTAGAAAAATATTGAAGGAAGGGAGAGAAAAACAGGGGGAGGGAGGAGCGAGAGACGTCTTACAAATACAGAAGAATATGAGAACAAATTTCAAATTACCTGTTACTTTTTCAATCTCACATTATCTGAAATACCCTATTTATTCTATCATTAGATTTAGAGACAAAAAACAACAACAAGCAAATCTTTTCTTCTGTTTAACCTGAGTTGGATCATCCACAGCAGCAAGAAGTACAGACTCGTCTTCAGATTCTGATTCTTCATCTAAATCCTCAGGTACAATAGGCTCAGTACTTTTACTGTGGATGACGAGATAAGAGATTTTAAAAAGATATGAATCCGAGAGCTTCCCACTGCTTGGCTGTTGTGGGCTCTTTGGTGTTTGGGAAAATATATGGGGACTGTGCAGCTCAGATTCGAAGATTTGTGACTATGAGTCAATGTCAATCTTTAAAAATTTGAATACTTTCTTGAGATCAAAGAATGGGGTCGGGTGACTTGAAATGCTAAGTTGAGGGGAACTTTCTGGGAGCACAAATGCATACTCAAGGCACACAAACGTTGAATTCTTAATTTAGAAGAGTAATTTCAGAAACTTTCGTTCAGCCTCCTTCATTATCTGCCCATTCCACAAAGGCCTGCGAAGTACCATGATCCTACAATTTATGGCTCATTTCGAAAATATTATCAGTATATAAGCAAGGGACTGGTCTGCTAAGAAAAACATAATAAGGGCTAAAGGCAAATATGCAAATAAGAAATATAGTAAAAACAGTTAATAGCATGTAACTCGTGGAGCAGGATAGCTGTGAAAGCTGGAAGAAAAATAATCACCAATCAACAAATAAGTCAAGCCATGAAAACAAACAGAATGACCTGTGCAGTTCTACTAAGGTTTACAATATTCTTGTTTTCATGACTCAGAGTGGATCATCCACACAAAACATGTACAGGAACCCACATATATAAGATAGGCTATTGTTTTACTGGATCAACTTTCAAGATAGAACATAGCATACTCAATGAGAAATTTTCAAAATGGGCTACACACTAGTAACTTTACAATTATATAATAACATAACATAGGTTTTAACAATTGCTCATATAAGAGAACCAGGTTATTTTCCCTCATTTTCCCACTCTAATCTAATAAAGTAAGAGACAGAGTTACTCTCCCCTTTGGGGAACTGTTTTCTACATGTTTTAGATGAAGCTTAGATTTACATACAGCTCTGTCAATACAGACAGAAACACAACAAACCTTGGTCTGGACGATGTGGGCTTATTATCAGCTTCCTCTTCTTCATCCTCAATTGCCATGTCATAGTTCTGAGTGGGTCCATCCATTGCAACCACAGCATCTACCTCTTGTGTCTCATCACCATCATCATTATGATCATCATCACCAAATTGTTGCGTTGCATCTGCATCGAAATCAGCTTGTCTTTCACTGTCTTTCTCTGTAGGTTTCACTGCAGTATTTGGAGGTTCAAATACCTGTGTGGGCACCTCTCCATCACTGTACATCTGCGTCGGTTCTTCAACAGTAACCACTGCTCGAGCACCTTGTGTCTCGTCTTCATCAGGTTCATCGTCATCCACAACCCCATAGGCTTGTGTGGCATCATCAGCACCTCCATAAGCCTGCGTAGCATCATCTGCACCAATATGAGACTTCCATGGCGGAAGTGAATCTTCATCACTGTCATCGGAAACATCTATCTGAGATGATCTTTTAAACCCAGTGCTTCCGCTTTTTACCACATTACTAGCTTTTGTTCTTGCTATCTGTTTACTAGTGTTTTCTTCTTCTTCCTCATCCAGACACAGGGTGGCTGGCTCCGCAGGAGCAGTGGCTGGAGCCTCCACCAGCTGAGTGGCTGCCTCGGAACTCTCCCCCTTCCTGGCCTGATCCTCACAGCCAGTGTCGCTATCAGCCTCACTGTCATCAGCAACAACGACAGTGTCGGTAAATGTCACGGTGGGTGACTTCCTATTTTGTCTTGTCCTTCTGTTCCTTGACCTAGTTGGCGACTGTGTCTCCTCATCCAATATGGCGACAGTCTCGCCCTCCACCTCCACAGCAACGGTATCGCTCGTGACGGGCACAGTCTCATCCGTTACAGCTTCATCATCGACAGGGACAGTCTCCTGCTCTGCCCTCAACGACCGTTTAGGTCGAGAACGAAATTTCCCAGCAGAATTTTCTGATACAGCAACAGTTTCTGACACAGCAACAGTTTCTGACACAGCAACAGTTTCTGACACAGCAGCAGTTTCTGACACAGCAACAGTTTCTGACACAGCAGCAGTTTCTGACACAGCAGCAGTTTCCTCAAAGACTTGAGTTGGGAGATCATCATCCTCATCTGGCACCACAACAGTTGCAGTGTCATCGTCTCTGACCGCGCCTGTATCAACTATCTGGGTTGGAGTTTCCGCCACTGGAGTACCCCTCTTTTTAGTTCCTCTTACGCTAAGCTTGTCAGGTGACCTCTTTTTGTTTTGTCTTTTTATGGATTCTGATACAGCAAGCGTGTCATCATCATCTAAACAGACAGTCTCAGAATTTGCATTCTCATCAGTACCACTTTGAACTTTTTGGGTTGGGGCATCAGATGTGAAAAGTTGTGTCGGTTCATCTAGCACTACGGTGGGTCTTGCTTGTTCCTCATCCTCGCTATCTTCCACAAACTCAGGATTATCACAGGCAAGGGTGGACATGGCAAAAAGATCTTTTGTTTCATTTTTATCGTCATCTTCAGAGTCTTCATCATCAAACACTTGAGTGGGTTTCGTAGCAGAGTCACAGGAATCGTTAGCTTTTCTCTCTTCTGCATCATCAAAACTTTGCGTCCCTGAGGTAAAAACGAATTTTTTTTGTTTTGATTATGACAAACTTACGAAATGAATATCTTGCTAACACAAATATCTCAAAACATCAACCCAGTCTTTGAACTTCCCATACATGAATAAAAGAAAGTGCTGCTTACAACAACAACAACAACAACAACAAAAAAAAGAAAACTGCAAGTTTCATATTCAATCATCAAATAGTGTCCTGTCCACTAAAATTACTCTAAAAATTATAGCAGGGCAAATTTCACAGAAACTATTCCATCTGATATTGCAGTGTGCTCATGCCATGGTAGAAAAACTGTATTCAATCCATTTTTGCACACCATTTTAAAAAATTATGCTTGTGAAAAAGCTTAAAATATACCTGCAATATAAAAACTTTCCAATGCACTGACACCAAAAAATGTCAAAATAAGAAACATAAACCAAACGGAGGATAGAGAGAATGAGAAGCAAGATGAGAAAGACCTACTATAGTGCTCAATGAGCCTACTTGGGAATAACTTATCGTAAACAGTATATAATCAAACTCTGTGAATGCCAAAATTCCTTGATCCCCTTATGAAAGTTTCTCCAGCTCAACGCCACTACACTATCCAAGTGGATATTTTGAATATGATAGTATCTTAAACATAAACCAAAACTAAAATTAATTTCAAAAGTCATACACATTTTCCTGTTATTTTCTCGTACAGTCCTTTGTTCTTTTTTTTTACTTACCTTCACCCCCTCGTTTCTGAACATTGTCAAAGCTCTGTGTGGAAGCTAACTGACTTGAGGCTTTTCTTTCTTTGCTCGAAGGAGATGCTTGAGCTTTCTCTTCACCTTGGGGCTAACAGAAGAGGGAAAGAAAGTTAGCAAAGTATGGTATGGGTTTTATTCCCTTTTCCACCCTTAAAAGCCATTAAACGGAAAAACCTCTGGGTTTAATTCCCAAGCCAAGCAGTTTTGAGCCTAGAAAGCTTAGAACAATTCAAGTAGGAGGGTCATCTGCACTATAGCCTTGTATAATAACTGACTCATCGCACATCTGAAAAGAAGTACCTATGAAAGCTATCTCAATGCTTCATCCGGAAGTCAAATAAAGTCATATTATGGCTATAAAGACAAAAAGCGCTTCTGTCTCATGCATCCAAAAATGAAAATCATTTACGATAAAGACCACTCCTATCATTCTCATTTTCTCTTTTGTCCAGTTTCTTTCCAATGCGTATTATAAAAGGAACATTAAAACAGATCTTTGTCAGGACCTGTTCTTTTAATATTGAGTAAGACAACCAATGCATCACAGCACTAGGAGAAACAAAATAAGACAATATTATGTTACTTACTGACAGAAACTTCTGTGTTGCAGCACTGCTTATGCTGCCTCTGTTTTTAGCTTTCACCTCACCGTATGCTTGGGTGGCTGCACTGATCAGATCATATGAGGGCTCCTCTGGGAATTGACAAACATACAAGCATACAAATTAGTTAATCTAACCTTTTTACATAACACATGTTTACCCTTTTGGAAAACAACATTATTTTTCTGCAAAATGTTAGCAAAGAGTGAAATTCACAATAAGATTTTAAAAGACCACATGAGAGTAAAGTGCACTTTCAGACTGTTGACACAAGGACCAATTTCCTAGTTGTGAGATAGTTATGAGGAGAGTTCAGTCAAATTCAAACACAGAAAGAAAACTTCAACATCTTTTCTGCTTAATCAAAAACAAATCCTGCAGAAAGGAAAGGTTTGGCTTTTTTCTTAACTATGTCCCCAAATTTGGGTGCCTGATAATTGATCGTAAGACAAATCCGTTCAGAAATTGTAGGAGCTAACTGTCACTGAAAATTTCTCATTCTTATTCAGGAGAGGCAGTAAAAAGGTATAACCAAGCTGGTAATTATATAGTATAAGGATAGTGTTCCTGTTTTGTTAGGTATGTGAAGCAAGTTGAACCCATCTACTCACCATCGGAGCTCTCCTGCCCTCCACCGACAGCACCATAGGCCTGAGTGGCTGCTGTGAAAAGTTCCTTGTCCATGCTAGCTTCTGGATCTGAAACACATGTTCCTTGATTCTGACAGGATGTTATTTTATTCTATTAGGGGGATCAGGAATCTCACCTCGACATTCAAAGGAGGGTGAATATGCCGTTACAGTTTAATGTGTCAGCGTGAGACTCATTATTACAGCAAAAGAAAACTAGGTGAAGAAAACGTGTGTGTGAGTGTGAGCGTGTGTGAGTGTATGCACTGGAGACACTTTAACAAATTTGAGAAAGGTCAGAAATAGATGAAGAACAGCAGTAGCTTGTAGGGTAAGGAAACTGCCTGAATAGCAACTGTTGTACATTGGATTGATAAACCTACAGGCAACTAACAGTAAGATCTAACGATAAACGCAAAGAAGTCCACATACTCTCAATTACCATGAATTATGCAAATGAATTTGTGTCACCTCAAACATAAGCAACCAACAAACATCAAAAAGTAAAAAGACAGACATGAGCTCTATAACACAAAAACTACATAATTTAACATTGAAACATATAAGGAAGAAATAAGATACTTTAGACACCTCAAAAACATAAACCACAGATTAACTCCACTCCAGTTACTCAGCAATAAGCTAGTGGTAAACTCACCGCTGTCCTCACAGAGGACTGTGTTGTGAACTGCTGACCCACGCCTTGATGCTGCTGCATCTTTTTCTTCTTCTTCACTCTCTGATTCTGACAAGACCAAGGTTTGTACAGGCGCTGTGGTCGATCTGGTTCCTGTAAAATGAACACAAAACACAAGTCCAGTATTTCATTATCAGTTTGACCTCTATCATCTACCCCTGTATGTCGGCTGATGTGTTCAACAAACAGAAGCCACCCACCTAGCCCTTCAACGAAAATAGCACCTACCCTCAACATCTAATGATACAAGAGGAAGGATAAAGTAAAAAGAAAAGTAAAGTAAAGAAAAGTAAAGTAAAGTAAAGTAAAGTAAATTAAAGTAAAGTAAAGTAAAGTAAAGTAAAGTAAAGTAAAGTAAAGTAAAGTAAAGTAAAGTGAAGTGAACTTTTACATACCTGATCCATTCACATTTTTCTGAGGAAAAAAATAAGTACACATAACTTTATAGACATCATTCTATTTTTACAAACTGCTGCAAAAATGTTTGATAATCAGCACAATAAATGAAGGGAAACAAAACATTATTCTTTAACAGCTTGACACAGTATATAAAAAATCCCAGTTCACTTATCAAGGAAAAAAGTATGCAAATAACCTTAAACAACAACAGTAAGACAAAATTTCAAGTTCTTTTCTTTTGTGATGAGAAAGTTTAATTCTTCAACTTCCTAAGTATATTTGATACATCTCTTCATCCACAAAGCAAACTAATAGGAAGACTGAGAAGGTGGGAAATAGGCTGTTATGGGTTGTAAGACCTACCACAAAATCCCTGATATAAACCTCTCTTCTCAGTATCAGTGGTGCAGCAATTCATATGGGAAGAATCTTTATCTGGTATCTAAATCTTTCAGCTAAGTCATTGAATTGCTCTCAGTCTGGGTTGGCTCTGACAAGCAGGGTCGACACTCTCCTGATAAATGATCTAAATTGTGTTGATGTGGGGTGTCAAGTCACCTACATTAAAACAAAATTATTTTTTTTAACCCCTTCATCTCCTCACAATTTTTTTTTACCCAACTAAAACAAAACAAAACAAAATAAAAACAGAGAAAAAGAAACCTCTCACAGCTACCAAGCGTATCTCATTTCCAGTTTTCTAATGACCCCTATACTTCCATCCCCTCTCTATTCCTTGTCTCACACACCTGCTTGTTCTCAGTGCTTTTCACAGCTGAACTCCCCATTGCCTCAGCTTGTAACAGCAGAGACTCATCCGTGTCTGACCCAGAGTCTGCAACTGTTTCATTTATGACCTGCACAACAACAAAAACAGTTGTACCAAGAAGGGAGAATTTGCACACATTTACAAAATTTTGAAGAATTACAAATGATCCTCTCCACTGATAAGTTGATCAAATCATGGAAACAGCTACCCAAAATGTACGAAAATAGTCAAAACTCTGGTAGCATGAAAGTCATAACAGTGTGCATTTCCACCCATTATCCTAGATCTGCTGCAAAAAATATGGTCTGACAGTACTGACAATGAATCTGGCTCGCTGCAAAATTAGTCAGTCTTTCTAATGTTAAAAAACTCAGAAATATCAGGATAACAACTATACCAAAATATGTACAACACCAACTTACTGTCTTTTGTTGAAACACGCATTTTACATCTGCAAATGTGAGTTCATCGTTATGCTTGATTTCATAACGAACCTCTGGAGTTAAAAACATCTGCAACAATAATCAAATAAAACTTATTTGCAACAAAAGCAACAAATAAATTCAATGTTGCAAACACAAATCAGCATGGGTAGAACACTAAACCCAAAAAGAAATTACTTTGTTGAAAGGTTGAAAGTTAATTTGGGATGTGGATTTGTTTATCAATGAATGACACAATAAATCATGCACACTTGCCAAGGTCAAAAAGTGAAGTCTGCAAAGTATCACACACAGATTCACTGCATGATTTCTTTATCTGGCAAAATATTCCTTTAAAAAAGAGCATGAATGCATTTACTGCAAGCAGTCACTGATTGACAGTACTCAAATCAGCACAAGCCAACGTGTGTATCACAAAACTAGATTACAGACAGACTTTATAAAAATAAGCCCAAGTTGATATCATGTGCATATTTAAGCAAAAAAGTATAGAATAAAAGGCAAACTGCAAATGGTGAGCTGAATTCTACTTCATAACTATTTTTCAAAATTATTCAAGACCCACCAGTAAGAAGACACAATTTCTCACACTTCCCGCATATCCAACACATACACTACAAGTTAAGATGTAGACGCGTATTACTGTATGTCAAAGGAAGGTCATTTCACCATACTTGCTCTACTGGTAGCAAGGCGAATTTTGAACAGTATGACATTTCTAATGCTTAGTTATGTTATAGTTTTACACCACTTGCAACACAATAAGGTCCCAAAAGTGCTGAAGATTAGAGGTGTTACAAAAGAGTGACAAACATAAAAAAGGAGGAGGGGAGATATGGACGATACATGTTTAATAGGAAAGAAGGAGCAAACCACACCAGAGCACCCACCAACCACCCACAAGGTGAACTTATTAAGTTCATAGCAAAGAATCAATAACTCAAACATAATAATCATAAAGAGTAAACTCAAGTGTACTTTCAAAAGGAGTACAAAGAGCCATTTTATATGGTCTCAAGACATCTACCAACCCAATACGAGTTCAACACTGCACACATACTGTATTCTTTGATCCTCGCAGCATTACAGTGACATAAGCAAGTGGAAACTCACAGTATTATATGATCGTTGAAACTTTGTTGACTCGAATTAAACTTTTAAAGGTGAGACAAAAAACTGTCGAACTTCATGTTAACACTTTAGGCAATCAAATTTTGTGAGCCTTAGACAAAACCCTGCGATGAAGTACGAGATTTACCTGAGTGTATTGTTGCGCAATCTGAGTTAGTGATAAAACATCCTTTGGTTAGGGAGGTTCTACATCTCAAACGCTGCTCCGTTGAACCTCTCTAAGGTGTAAGAGAGATTAGAACAGCATAACACATGTTTTTGGTTGCTCTAGACTTACTCACTATCTAAAGGTTGTCTTTAAATGTTCACCAAGCTGTTTTATGTCCCGATGGCCAGCTCGTGAGCTATGATACCTTTTGCGTAGGTGAAAATCTCTATGTACCTCAACACATGGAGTGAAATGGGTAAGGTAAGTGACCACGCGGAGGAAGATAGTAAGGTTTATCAACCCCACCACTCAATAGGTGCTCTCTTATAAACTCGCTATTCCGTAAGCAAGATTTTAAAAATCAAACATGTTGTGGTGGATAGCCAGGTTCACGCAGAATTTTAAGTGCTTTTTCGAGCATTTGTAGTTTGAATCTGGATTTAATATATCTATAAACATTGGGTATCAAGGTATCAGGAATCTTTTCATGCAAAATAAAGATTTTCACCAAAATTTGAGTAGGCGAGGTTACATCAGAGCGCCAACAATATATCCACTCAAATGGGAGAGTGGCCAGAATACAGAATAACTTCTTTGGTCATGAAATTCAACACATCTTACCTTCCCTCTTTTTGTCTTATTGCGACTGCCTTTATCATAGATAAGAAAACTTCCTCCTTGTACTTCCACACATGCATGTTCCTTAGACAGTGACTGAAACAGAAAAGAACATTTGTCTGTGAGATAAAGGAGCAAATGATTTTTTTAAAATAATTTTTTATGCTGTGAAAACCGGTAAGAAATAGTTTCATGGCAAATAGTATCCAACAATACATTAATAAGTAACTTGAAGGAAATCATTTTTTTGCCAGGAATGCCGAGCACCCCACAGAATAAAGACAAAAACTGATGAAATAAAATAAAACTGACCTCATTAGACATATTTATAAACTATAACATAGATTTATATTCACTTACCAACAAATAAACAAAATGCAGATGGCCTAACATACCTTGGATGGGATGCACACATGACATGTGTCTGGACTTCTGCCAATGATGTTGTTACCTATTTACACAGAGAGAGAAAAAGGTTTGTATCCTCAGTATCTGTATGGGCACAATGCCCTGCTAGTACATGATAAAAATAAATCCTTTCAAAAGGGAGAAAAAATCATTCAACCTTCACATCAAACGAGAACAAAATTTTCTGTTAAGCACACACCTAGAGAAATCTGCCGACACGAAAATCTGTATGTTATGCAAATTTTACTATGCGTGTGTCTTAAATACAAAGAATATACCATGTTTAAGAAAAAATTTGGAACCGGAAAATCAGTTTGCAATGTGTGTTTCCCTATGTGCATGTTCATATGCGCATGCAACACTTCATTATTACTTGCTGTATACCTCACGTCTTCAACAAAAACTGCCCACCTGTAAAAAATGAAATTAGACTTAACTTAACCAATATACAAAGAGTATCCCCATGAAAAAGTATTTTTAAAGAACAAACAAGGTCTCAAAATAAAATGCTGTAACATATGTGAAATTGGTATGTTTTGACACATACTCTCTCAGTAAATAAGTGCATGAGTCACCATCACTGAATATAAAATGCAAACCTCTAAATCAATACAGTACAAACACTATGGTTTGTTTTTAGATGGAGAAATTTTGTTATAGTAAATTCCTTGGGATCATATTTTCAATCTGAAGAGCACAACCATTACTTAATAAAAACTAAACGATATATTCTTGTCTCTGATTATCGTACAATAAACTTAAGTCGGCTTTACTTTGACTTTTCAACACCAGTAATATCATCATATAAGCACAGCAAGAAAATAAAAATGTACATATTTGAGAATCATATTCTGTTACCATCATATAAAGGATGAATCTCCCCACTCAATCCCTTTTGATGCAAAACCTTCAGATGTCCAACCTGAAAAGAGGAAAATTAAAAAGAACCACATAAATGGTAAGCTTGCTCTATCATACATATATTTGAAAAGTACTTACCAAACAATAGAGTAACGAAAACAAAAAGAATGCTTATAACAGAAATAATCATTGTGCCTCTATTTTACTGGATCGGAAAAGTCAAGCCTCTTTTCTATTGCTACAAAGTATGACAATATGTGAATAAATTCATCACTCGAACAAGAACAGTAAAATCAAACCACAGCAACTCAACCAATCCACAAGAATCACTTTCAGATAGGAGCGCAAATCCTTTTTTATTTACTTTTCAAAAATATAAACAGTCTCAACAGCCTAAAGAAACTTCTTTTTTGGGGTGTGCTTTTTTCTTTGTTTGTTTTTTTCTTTTGGGGTAAGGGGGGGGGGGGGGG